GCTAACTGCAAAGTCCGAATTCACTCCGAGGGAGAAAGGGGCTTTCTACTATCAGAGGGTGAGACCCACACACAGGGGCAGTTCCTGTCTTACAGGGTGACCGTGAGTTGGCATCCACTCGATGGCAGCAAGTTTTTGGAGGGCTAGAGTGATGGTTATAGTTGGAAGAGGGACCCCCAGAAAAACCTGCCTGTCGGCTGCCTCCCCAAGAAAGGGCAGCATAAGGAAGGCAAGCCTCACTGTTCTGGAAGGCGATGGCTGGGGGCCATCCAGTGGGTTCTACCTGAGCAACATCGTGTACCATGGCACACACAGTGGCCGGGGCCTGCGCCGCCCCACCACTGCTCTGCTGTCAGACACGGCTGCAGCCCGCGGGACTGTCTCCTCCAGGCCTTCCTTCCACTTTACCACGCAGGAGGTTCTTGTCAGGGACTGGCCGCTCCCAAGTACACGAGACAGAGTCTCACCTTCTTGGCCCCTAAGGAGCATTCTGGCTGTACATCTCCCAAAACAGGAGAACCCCAAATTCACACATATCTTAGAGACTTCTTTATTAAATCTTAAATATAGGACAAAGGCAAGGGCCAAACATGGGGATGAGGGAACCCATCTGTGGGCATGAGGCTGCAATGGTGTCCCACGTACGTGGCCACTGGTCTCCAAGCACTCCCTGACACCAGGCTGATCCGGACTCCTAGTGGCCCTGTAGGACAGGGCCGATGTGCCCCTGTGGGTTTCCGAGGCTGTAGCTCTCCACAGGACTAAAAAGCCTCATCTTTCTCCTGCGGAGCAGCTGGTGGTTTTGAACTAGTGATCTTGTTGTTAGCAGCCCAAACTCCTAACTTACTGGGTCACCAGGACTCCTGACTACTATCACAAGACCATGACTGGAACATCAGTTCTTCACTGTGGCCAGGGGAAGGACTACAGATTGGGGGTGGGGTGGTGGGACTGGGATGGGATTGGGGTAAAAGTACAGATTAGAAGGGTTGACAGGGTTGGCCCTGGGGACACCAGGCCACTTGAGAGCCAGCTTTGTTCCGTGTGACCCAGGTACCTCTACATCCAGGTGCCTGGAAGGCTCCCCAGGGCCCAGCAACTCCTCCCAGGGTGGGGGGCAGTGGTCATCTCCTTTCCAACACACTCTGCCGGGGACAGAGGTTTTCTCAGGGTGGTTAAAGGTCAGCATGGATTCAGAGGATGAGCTTAGGTCAAGACTGGCAAGGGCCTTAGGGTCCCCCTAAACCCTGGTCTTCCACAAACCACATGATTTCTGGTTTAGGCTCAGCTGAACCCCCACTGTGCAGCTGCCTGCTGGCCTGACCCCTGGTCCCGTTTCTAAGTCCCCAAATGCTCCAGCTCTCCACTAAAGGGAACCTGGGGGCTGGGCTGGTTCCCCCACCACCACCACTACCACCCCGTCAAGGGGTGGGGCAGGTCCCAGGACAGCAGGGCAGTGCAGGTAGCCACGTGTGATCAGGATCTGAGATCTCTGGGCCTCAGATGCTGGGTGACAGGGTGGATGGCTGCAGCAAGGTCCCAGATTGGGGAAGGGGAGAGAGGAGAGGCTGAAGTCCGATGCCAGCCCTCCGATGGGGTCAGAGGCCAAAGATACTGAAGGCAGCGATGCACCCGGGAGCCAGCACCCACAGGGCTCAGCCTTGCTGCCGAGCAGGAGCAGTGGGTGAGCACCGGGCTGGCCTCCATCCCATCTCCCCGCCAGCAGCAGATGTCCTTTGGAAGCATGCATTCTGAGTTTCAGAACTCATGAAGAGGCACTTTGTAGCCCACTGTTCAGAGAATTTTCCACCCAAACAAAAACAAAACAAAGGGACACAAAGCACACACATCATGGGCCGGGGCCAGTGACCCCAGGCCAAGAGCCGGGATGTGGTCCTGGGGCAGGCGGCGAGGATGTGGGGAGCGCCTCTCCAGGCACTCCAGCCTGGTCAGCTCAGACTGGGAGGGACGCCAAGTCGCCCAGTGCTTTTCCTTCCCGGGCTGGCAGGGCAGCGGATCAAAAGGCGCCTGGGGCCTGGGTTCAGATCCCAGCTCAGGCCCTTCCTTGCATGGCACAGCAGCCCCTCTGAGTGGTCGGGGTCTTGAGAGGCGGGAGGAGCTCGCTGTTACTTCTTGGCGGCGTGGGGTAGTGTCCACCTAACTCAGCTTGGGCTGCGGCTCCCCTGGGAATTCCATCTGCTGGCCCAAAGAACGGTATGGGGTGTTGGGGCACGGTCCTGGAGCCCAGTGGGCAGGTGGGACCCCTCTGTCCCCACAGGGCTAGCCTGGAGTCTGCAGAGCTGACCTCAAAGGGTCTTTTCCTGTCAGGAGCCGCCCCTCCCCCATTCTGGCTCTGGACCTCCCACCGAGATCTCTGGCCCCAAGCTGTGGTCAGGACAGTGCCTCTCCGGTGGCCCCAGCTGGCTCGGGACCTGTCTACTTCCGGAAGGGCCCAGGCAGTGTGGGCACAGCCTGCCTCCCTCCCTGTGCCCCCTCTGGGAGCTCAGCCCTGCTCCACCCCACCTCTTCAAGTGCCCCAGGGGTGCTTCTCTGGAACCAGCTCCCTCTTGCTGCCCCCCAGGATGGGGCAGAAGCCTGTGCCACCCCCTCTGGCCTGGGGGAGGGAGGGGCTGAGGGGAAGCTTTTTTTTGGGTGGTGGGGAGGGACACCGGGGCAGCAGCCTGGAGCCCTTCCAGGGCAGTGCGTGCTGGTCGGTGAGGGGGGCGGGGTCTCGGGAAACCCTGGCACAGCTCAGGGTCCAGCCGGAGCTACGGCGCCGTAACCGCACTCTGCTCCCCGTGGTCCACGCTCCAGAGGCGGTAAAACTCGGCAAAGTCCACGTAGGGCTCCACGCGGCCGTCCTCGCCCGGCGGGAGCGAGTGGGCGGGCCGTGAGCGGAAGAGGCCGCCGTCCGAGCTGGAGCTGCTGCTCTGCGTGTGCGTGGTGGTGGACTGCAGCGTCAGCGTCGGGCTCTGGCTGCGGGCGGGCGCGAGAGGGGCTCTGCTTAGCAAGGGGCCCCAGCAAGGCAGGCGTGGGTGGCCTGGGGTCTTCAGGGGCAGGTGGAAAGTCAAATGAGCTAAAGGGAGCGGGAAGTCCTCCTCTGCCCAGGATGCGGGACTGCGCAGCGCCACGCTGCAGGCAGCCCGATCCAGGTGAAGCCGTCACCACCCCCAGGGCGGTCCTTGCTCCCCTCCCCCATTCCCCTCTCCCAGGCAGCTAACCCCACCCCATCACGTCACAGGGAGTCCCTCCTCCTCCTCCGCCCAGCCCAGGGGCCCCCATGTGGGTGACCCTGGTTAGGGGGAGGGCAGAGGGCGGCCCAGCTGCCAGGACCTCAGAGGCAGTGCTACCTGGCCTGACACCCCCCACCCACCGCCCATGCCTTTGTGCACAGGCTGAGGACGTCCTATGGACAACCCTGGGGGGAGGGGGCAGGAGGGGGGGGCTCAGAGCTCGTGGAGGTGCCCATCACCCACCCTGTGGCCCAGCCACCCACTGCAGCAGCCATACAACCATGGGGGCAGGGGGGCAGGAAGCCCCCACTACAATGAGTAGTGGGGCTGAGGGCCACGCCCTCCCCGAGGGCACTTCCCATTGGCTGCAGTGTCCAGTGGGCTGGGTGCAGCATCTCTATTATTCCTTGCAGGCCTGGAATTCTGAAACCGGATCCTGCCCCCAAGAGTGGTGGGTGGGGGCTGCATTCCAAAGAAGGGAGGGCTGGGTGGACTCTGAGTGGTCCAGGCCAGGCAGCCTGCCGCCTCCCTCTGGGATCCAAGCCCCGTTGGCCCCATCCATGCCCTCACCTTCCTCCAGAGAACACACTCGGTCTAGCTGGAAAGCTCCTGAGCTAAAAGAGATGTCCATTCCCCCCCCCACCACCCCGCCAATGCCCCACGGATAAGCTGGGGCAGGTTTGGACACTATCCCTGAATGGCATCGCCCAGAGGAGAGGGGGGTCACAACACGCACTCCCAGATGCAGGGAGAGGGAACAACACAGGAAGCTACCCATCAAACGGAGCAACCACATGGGTGGTGCAGGGGGCAGGCATTTGTTGAAGGTCTCTGGTTCGGAGCCCACCATTCTCCCCCCACCCACCCCCAGGGGATGAGGCTGACTGCTCCCGTAAAGACCCTCGTGGGCAGTTCTGCTCTGTCCTGCGGGGTCGAAAGGAGTCAGAATCTACTCCACAGCACAGTGGCTGAGCCTCCGAAGCTGAGACACATGTGGGCAGTCTGAATGTGGGCAGTGGCTCCGGAGAGAATGTGCCCCCTCCCCTGCCCTGCATGACCACTGCGCAGGCAGTCACCTGGGCTGCTGTAAGTCAAAGGCAGCTTGAGAGCACACAAGGGGCCTGCAAACCTCAGCCTGCCCTCCCCCACCCACCCGGCTCCTCTGCACTCTCTCTGGACACACCACCATCAGGAACTGGGTGGGGAGCTGGCACAGTACCAGACTCCTGGGCAGCTCATGGGAGGCGTCTCAGCAGGGGGCCACTTCCGCCCAGGCCCCAGGGCTTACTTGGTGAGGGTGGGCGTGGCTTCATCCAGGGTGGCAGAACTGTGGGCCCCATTGACCATCTGGCCCTGGGAGGGCATGACGAGGGACAGTGTCACACTGGTCTTGCTGGTGCTCTGGGCGCTTGAGTAGGGCACCGACACGGGGTACACGCGGCCTCCTGCAGCTGCAGGGAAACAGAACCCACCAGGGCTTTGGGGCCCCAGCCTCATGGGGCCCTGAACCTCAGCTAGCTCCACCCCTTCTTGAGCCTTCTTTCCTCTTCTGGAAAACAGGGGGGAGGGGGGGCAGGCGGGGGGCAAGGGAAGCAGCTCACAGGGCACTTGGCCAGGAACACCCCCCACCCCAAGTGGCCAGAGACAGAGAAGGCAGGGCTCCGCAGGGGGCGTACCTGGAGCCGGGCTTGCAGCGGGCTGGCTCATCTCACCCAGTGGGTAGCCGAAGTTCCTCACCAGCAGGGTCATGTCCTCGTGCCAGGGGCAGAACTTGGCGCGCTCCCCGCCGCTGGCAAAGCTGTCACTGTGGATGCGCCTCACGCGGTCCACCACGGCCTGTGCCACTGCGTCCAGGGAGGTCTGCTTGGCGAACTCTGTGTCGATCATGGCTGCGATCTCCTGGGGGATGCGGGTGGGATTGACCAGCCACGAGACTCCAGGGGACCCCCACCCTAGAACCCCAGACAGGCCCCACAGGGGAAGTCCCTGCTGGCCAAGCTGCAACCCAAGCTTTGCCAAGTACTTAGGATAATCCTTCTGGAGCATTCCACAAGAAAAGCTGCATGACCCAGGGCTCTCCAGCGGCTAGACAAGGCCCGCCTAGCTGGTCCTAAGAGGATTCCAGGCCCATGGGTCGGCCCGAGAGTCCTTCATGGGCAGGATCCTGGGCAGGAAGCTTTCTTCCCCGGGCACACTTACTGGGCGATAGATGTCAGGGAGGATGTCAGGAGTTGGGGATACAAGAATGAATGAAGACGGGATCCTGTCCAGTATAGTCTAGAACTTAGGAGACGTTTCTGGAAAATTCTATCAGGAAGGTCCCTCTCCTGCTGAAATCTGAGGTGACCATCGAAACCGCTGAGAAGACTGAATGTGCAGACACACAATCCCCAGGACGGACAGGGGCAGGAAGGCAGACACAGGTCCTAGGGTAGGGTGGGCCAGTTCCACCACTAACCACCACGTCACCTCAGGGAAGGCCCTGTACTCCGGCCCAGCTCCAGGACCCCAAGAGGAAAGGCCCTGGGCTCGGAGGGCTCCTCCTCATGCTTCTTCATCAGCAAGGACATGGCACACTGACCCTTCAGTCCAGTCAGGGACAGGCAGTTTCCCTTCCACACCACCCACAAGCACCTCCTAGTCCCTCTGCCCCAATGATGAGAGCAGCCTGCACACTCTGCCCTCACAGAGGGCAAGTTCCCTGTCCTCTAGGGTCACCAAGTGTCAGCTCTCTCTTCCCCTGGCCTTGAACCCCGTGCTTGAGAAGCTGAGGTGCAGATCCAAGTCCAAGCAGCTGGGCGGGAGGGTGCGTCCCCGGCAGTACCAGCTGTAGCCACCTGCTCCGTGCAGGCTCAGCTCACCTGGTTGGCCTGCCCAGGCCCGTGGGCAGCTTCCAGGGCCTTGTAGAGCCCCTCAGACATCAGCACCAAGAAGCCCGTCACCCCATCCAGTGGCTGCCCGCCGTGGATCTCAGGCTCCGCGATAATGGGCTTGGACTTGGCAGTGCTGCGGGAGAGAGTGGAGGGGAGCGTTTGCCTCTCCAAGGTCCCGTGGACAATTCTGCTGCGGGGAGGACGCTACCCGCTAAGGGCGAAGTCAGACACTGACCCGACAAGAGGAAGGAGAAAGGCAGGAATACTGCCCCTAAAAGGAAGCTCAGAGGACCGAGCAGCAAAGGTCCAGTGTCCAGTGGTGGCTGGCCGGCCGGGCCCACAGCCCCTGTCCACAGAGGGGAGATGTGAGAGCTGGATACAGAGAAACTAAGGCCTTGATGACAGAGGCCAGGCTGGAGGCTGCACGACAGCATTCTGTACGACCAGGGACTTTTCCGTTGCAAATGTCCTTGTTTTCAACTGAAGTGGCAACTCCCCACGTGTCCCTCAACAGATGTAATCAAACGGACTACCTCTGTGGAAAGAGGAAATGGAGAGGCTCAGTAGCATCAGTCAAAGCAAGGTCGGGGCCACCTGACTACCAGCAGTTCGTGTGAAAGTTCGGGCCCAAGCTGAGAAAATTGAAAGCATGACCCGGAGCACAAGCCACCGGAGTCTAGAAACCAGGTCAGGATAGAGCTGCCCCGGCACACCAACGAGGAGCCCCATGAGCTGTGGGGTGGCCTCAAAAACGTCACACCGGAGGAAGAACAAGGACTCAAAAAGAGGAAAGACCAAAGTGGATGAAGAGATTCTGAAACTTGTTCTTGATCAGCTAAAGCAGGAGAAGACTTCAAGAGGCAGCGCCAGGAGACGAGGTAAAATAGTACACAGTGAAATGTGCAATGACCTGGAGTTGGAAAAATGCAAAGTAAGAACACGCTCAGCTTATCTAAAGCTGGAAGAAAAACCGAAGGCAAAATTCAAACCACGAATTGCACTATTAAGAGATCCCATGGGCAGGAAGCTGATGGTGCCCAGCTATTAAAAGATAATAGCATCTGGGGTCTTAAAAGCTTGAAGTTAAGGTAAACAAGTGTCCATCTAGCTGAGAAGCAACAAAGCCCACGTGGAAGAAGCTCACCAGCCTGTGTGATCACGAGGTGTCGAAGAGATCAGGTACCAGGCATCAGAGAACAAAAACCATATCACTGTGAATGAGGGGGAGTGCACATTGGGAACCCAAGCCCATCTATAGGCAACCTGACATCCCCCCACTTTTTTTTTTCCCCCTGACATCCCCTTACAGAAGGGTTGCGGGGAGGAGATGAGCCAGTCAGGGAACAGTGTAGCAACGATGAAACATATAGCTTTCCTCTAGTTCTTGAATGATTCCTCCCCACCCCTACCCCACTATCATGATCCCAATTCTACCTTACAAATCTGGCTAGACCAGGGGATGTACACTGGTACAGATAGGAACTGGAAACATAGGGAATCCAGGACAGATGATCCCTTCAGGACCAGTGGTGAGAGTAGTGATACCAGGAGAGTGGAAGGAAGGTGGAGTACAAAGGGGGAACCGATTACAAGGACTACAACCTCCTCCCTGGGGGATGGACAACAGAAAAGTGGGTGAAGGGAGATGTCAGACAGTATAAGATATGACAAAATAATAATAATTTATAAATTATCATGAGGGAGAGGGGAGTGGGGAGGGAGGGGAAAAATGAGGAGCTGATATCAAGGGCTCAAGTAGAAAGCAAATGTTTTGAGAATGATGATGACAACAAATGTACAAATGAGCTTGACACAATGGATATATGTATGGGTTGTGATAAGAGTTGTAGAAGTCCCCAATAAAATGACTTAAAAAAACAACAACCAAAAAAAAAGAAGAAAGAAAGAAAGAAAAAGAAAGAGATCCTATGGGTAAAATATTGAATGATGCAGGTCTCAAAAGATGGAAAGAATACAGAGTCACGGTACCAAAAAGAACTGGTGGACATTCAGCCATTTCAAGACCAGATGCTAAGCTAACAGTGTCCACATCATAGGCCCCATGGGTGGGTGAGTGACACAGCGTACACACAGCGTACCACACAGGCTCCACAGTGGTCACTATCATTGCTGCCTCTGAGCCAGGAATATGTAAAATTAATCTCACACCTCTGCCAGCTCCAGGCAAGGGCAGTGCTGATCAAAAGGCCTTTGTTCTGTCCATCTTTCTCTAAGTCAGGCAATGATACCAACTCTGCCCTTCCTGCCGGCCCGTGGCACCAGCCACTGCTCTTGGCTTGGACCGGCTCCCTAATTTGACCTCACCCTACAAGACCCCAGCTCTTGATGTGCTGGGTCCAGTGCCTGCTCCCCACTCCTCAACCTCTCCCTGCCCTTCTCGTCCGTATGGACTCTAACAGCGCCACCAACCTGAGCAGTTCGATGTCAGTGTAGCCGTACTTGACTTTGTAGTCCCCGATGCGCCTGGTGCTCTCCTGCCCACAGATGACTCCCACCTGCTTGATCTTTGCTGTGTCCAGACCTAGCAAAAGGAGAGCGACTTAGCCACAGGTCCCACTCGAGATGGAGGCAGATCCATGAGCACAGGCCACGAGGGCCTACTGAGCGGAAGGAGATCCACGTAAGTGGGCCGTGGAGAACAGCCCCTCCACGTCCCCCGCATGACCACCACCCATGTTTTCAGTCCTTCCTCCATGACCACGCCAGCCCTGCCTGATCTCTGCCCAGGGAGTCTGCTGCGGAGAGGAGTAAAGTGGGTTGAATGGTGTCCTCCCAAAGCTAAGTCCACATCCTAACCCTCGGAAGCGGCTGTGATGCCAGTGCAGTGGGTTGTCCAGCACGGCTCCCTCCTACAGACCACCTTGGTTTTCCCGAGGAGCTGGGGACAGAGGTGGGGCCGATACTGAATGGATCACGTGGTTCAGCTGTGAGGGGCTGTTAACAGGGCTCATTTGGACTGTCATCCTGCTGGGTAGAAAATAAGTCCTGGGGGGTGAGGTGTGCGTGGAGAACCTATCAACAAAAGAGCCAGGAGCAGAGCACCTCGAGATCCCTGTGCACTGAAATTCCTTGGTCCAGGAAGGCGGCTGTGACCCCAGAGGAGGAGCAGCGGCAGCAGCACAACCAGAAAGCGGAGCAGGAGACAGATGGCTGGACTTCCCGGGCCACAGAGCAACTACAGCCACCAAGTGCTTGTGGACAAAGTGGGGTGCCTCTGAGTGCTGAACTGAGCGCGCTGATTTTGCTGACCCAGGGAGCTGAAGTTGAGGCTTGTATTGGAGTGGCATGCCCTTTGGACATTTATTGGCAGCCCTAAAAGGGCTTCGAGACATTGCTGTAGCAGGGCTGATACCAGTCAGTCGCAGTGGCTACAGGAAGAGGGAGGAGATACTGCTCTGATTAAACAACTGTGACCTGAACATTCCTCATCTGAACTGTAACCTGCTAACGTCCCTAATGAACCCCACCATTGTGATCATCACCAGTGAGCAACGTGTGGCCACTGTGATGACAGAGAAGGGATGGAGTGGGGAGGCACGTGGTGTGTGAGCTCTGCTTGTGCCGTCAGCCCTGGTGCTGGAGGAGGGAGATTGGCTCGAGCCGTTACTTGGAAGCAGGGTCTTTCTTAGCCGTCTTGCTAAGGCTCTCAAGAGGAGACCCACCTGGATTTCGGTGATCCTAAATCCAATGAGCAGAGCTGAGGCCTGTTAGGGAGACAGGGACACACAGGGACAATACTGTGTGGGGACAGAGGCAGAGACTGGTATGGTACGTGCAGGGCTGCCGAAGCTAAGAAGCTGGGAGCACCGTCCTCGGAGGGGCGGGCCCCAGGAGCACCTTGACTTCAGACGCTGCTGGAAGGCAGTGGCCTGGGCTCATTTGCTACGACAGCCACAGGGTGCTGGCATAGGAAGAGGGGATCTGAGGGGGTGGTTGGAGGAAACCTGTGACTTTGTGGGCTTCTGTTCAGTCTTCCTATTGTGGTGAGCCCCATCCCTCCAGGCCCGGGACGTACCCAGCTGTGACAGGCGGAAGAGCTCGTCCTCGTTCTCGGTCGTGTGGTCCACGTTCAGCTGCGTCACCTGGAGCCCGTCCACCGTGGATTTGCATAGCAGTGCTCGGTTTGTACCTGCAGTGAACCGTGAATGCGACCCTCTGAGACTGGGACACACTGGGGGAGGAGACCAAGGCAGGTATCCCACCACCCCTGGAAGCTGGGAAACATTGGACCACCGGGGCCAGTTGGGGCCAGCTGGTGACATGAGGGGATTAGTGGGCTCTCATGCTTGTGGCCATGAATGGCAGAGCCCTGTTTTCTAGAAACACATATGAAACTGTTTTCAAGTAGCAAGACGTAGTCTAGGCTGAGTTACAAATAAAGTGGGGGACTGGGAGTGGGTGGGCTCGACAGGACAGGACTGGCCAGGAGCTGGGTGATAGGCCCTTCGCCATCCAGCGGATTCTAACTCACAGCGGCCTCATGGTACGTGGGGCTTGTACACACTACTTAACTGTCTTTTCCTATAATTTAGAAAGTTTTCCGTAAGGAAATCTCAAAGAGAGGAGGAAAAGGAGCCACTAGACTGACCCGGCAAGGCCAGCGCTCAGCCCGTCGGGGGAGGAGAGGGTGTAACCTGGCCGTCTGGCTCTGCTCCCTGTGCTTGGACGAGGACATTTCTGTAGAGGAGGGCCAGACTACTGAAGGGCTCGGGACCCCCGGGGTCCTGAACCCTGTTTGGGGCGCGCCCCGGTGCTCACCGACATTGGCGACGTAGAGCTTGCTGTTGAGCAGGACGGCCACCACGGCCATGGCTCCTCCTGAAGTCTCCCTCTCCAGCACCCGGAGCCTCTCAAGGACCTTCTGGTACTGAGGCGGCAACTGGTGTTGCGGGACGCCCTGGAGCCCGGCGGCAGCGGAGTCAGGGCATCACCGGCCTGGCCCATGTCCCCGGAGTGCCAAGGGCGAGGGGAGCCGTGGAGGTGGCAGCTGAGGGGCACGGTAGCAGGTCTCCCCTCCCACCCGCTGCTAGGCATCAGCATGAAGCTGCCAGGAAGGCCCCTAGAGACTGGGTGCCCATTGCCACCCGCCAGGGAGTCCCCTCAGGAACCCTCTGGGGCCAGCTGTCAGAGACGCGAGTCCCCACTCCCGGCGCCAGCCCAGACCAGCTCGAGCGCAGCGGGCGTCACCTCGGGCAGCTGGGACTGCAGACTAGCCTTCTCGGCCAGCGCGTCGTCGATGGACTCCAGGAAGCTCCTTTCCACCACGTCAAAGGCCTGCCGGGCAGAGGCCGGGTACCGCGTTAGGGCAGAAGCTGGTACAAAGCGGCACTCTCCCCTGACATGACACGGGCACCACTGCTCCCTCCAGGGCAGGAGACATTTGGCGTGTGGGGCCGGGAGAGTGGCCGGAGAAGCAGGAGACGCAGAGGTCACGAAGAAGCAAGCTGGGGTTGGTGCCAGCAGTGCCTCCTTCCGAGAGCAGCTCTGTCAGCCCCCGGAGTCCCCTGTATGTGAGCCGTGAGGCTTGGTGAGCACTCAGGGTTGAAGCAGAAAGGTGGGGCACACGCTTCCTGGGGACCAGGGACCCACCCTCCTTATCTGAAAGCAAAGAGCCTTGGGTGCTTCTGAGGGTGGCCCGTGCCCCCAGGCTAGAACGCAGAGTGCAAGTCAGATAGAGAGGGGCCCCGAGGGGCCGGGCTGCTTTTTCCACCCACCCAAGCTGATGCTCGGTGACCGTGCGCCCACTATGGCTTCGGCCCCTCAAGGTACCCCTGGGGGAGCTGTGCTTAAGCACTCAGCACCAAATTGGTTTGGACCCACGAGGGGGACGCTGTGGCTCGTCGGCTTTCGGAGCTTCAGCCCAAGAGACCCCCGAGCCCGGGCATGGCTCTCAAGCCCGTTTCTCCAGGGCCCTCCCAGAGCCAGGCCTGGGCGGAGAGAAGGGCCCCAGAGCCCACAGCAGACGGAGGAGGTACTGGCACCAGCAGGGTCAACGGCCCAGCGAGATACCTGCAGCAGCACACGCCGCACATCAGCCTCGGTGTGCTCGGCGCTGAGCTGGCCCAGCAGGAGCTCCGCCGACAGCCGCTGGGTCACAAAGTTGGTCACCCGGTTGCCATCGTAGCCGTTGAAAACGCCATAGAGGAAGCAGTTATTTTCACCCCTGCAGAGGGAGCGGGGCTGACACAAGGCCTTGCAAGGATGACACTGGACCCAGGGGTGGGAACTCGTCTGCAAGACCCACTCCAGCCCCCTCTCTGGTCTGTAGACCAGGTGTGGTGAGGACAGGCGGCCTGCTCACCTGAACTTGAGCCAGCTGTCCTCTGGGGGGTGGCTCTCCGTGCCCTTGCCATCAGCAGAGTAGCTGCGGTTGGAGGCTGAGCCCACTCCAGAGAGGTGGCAGAGTGGCAGGTCATCCGTCCAGCTCGGCTGCTGTTCCTAGGTGGGGACAGGATGTTTCCAGGGCCACCTCCTCCCCCAACACCATTCCAACCTGACCTGCCTTCTCAGCCCCAACAAAAACCGAGCAGGCCCAGCACCCCCAGGCGGCCCACATCCTTCTGGAAAATAGTGACACTCTAAGAGCAGACAATGGCAGAGGGGCTGGCATGCTCTTGTCACCAAGTTTGTCCCCAGGGAAACCTGAGGAAAGCTAGATGTAAGAGCCAGTGACGATTCCCTGTGGGGCACTGTGCCAGGGACTGGGAGCCAACAACCCTCACCCACACAGACAGGGACAACCAGCGGAGCAAAGGACACACACACACACACACACACACACACACACGACAAAACACTCTGAGATGCTTCCTGGCTCTCCAGAAGACAAAGGTACCCTGGCTCTGCAGGCCCCTGTATCCCATAGCCCCCCGCCACACACACACATGACCAGGTTGGGCCCGGAAAATCTGCATTTTAGGACCTCATCTCAGCTGATTCCCACTCAGTGTTCCAAAATCACGCCTCAAGATTCTGACAAAGGACGTGTCCAGCACCTGCCCTCCACACCCATGCTCGGCTGCCCACCAGGACCCAAGATGCGCAGTAGCCTGTCTACGTTTTCCCCTCGTCTAGCTCTCTGCATCCTTTTAAACTCTACCTCCTGCAGTCCTCCTTCGGGACTTCTCTGCCCTCACTATACCTGGCACCTTTGGTGCCCATACTGCATCCGGAGCCATTGTTCTGTGCCCCCATTAAATGCAGGCACCATCCCTCCGTATCCCCAAGACACCTGGTGCCACTGCTTCTGCCCAGCTCTGGCTTCCATTTTACCTAGTGGGATCTTAGAGCCGGCTTCCAGAGGGGGCAGGGCTTTAAACACACGTGCATGTGCATCATACACACACACAGATACCTGGCCAGGCCCCACCCCAAAGCAAACCAAACACACTGCCACTGAGTCAGTGCTGACTCCCAGTGACCCCTGTGGGTTTTTGAGACTGTCAGCGCAGCCACAGCCAGGAGACAGTGCTAACACCCCAACGCAGGCCCCTGCTCCACTTGGAAGTCACCATACGAACTGCAAACCTGCCACCATCCAGTCGGTTCTGCCTTCTGGCGCCCCTACAGAGCAGGGGAACCGCCCTGTGGGCGTCCCAGACTAAGTCTTCACGGGAGCGGAAAGCCTCCTCTTCCTCTCACTGAAGCTGCTCGCCTGAGGTTAGCAGCCCAGCCTGCAGCCAACAATCCACAGGGCAGTCCTGCAGTCCCCCACCACCCCCATATAAGGGATCTACACAGTGGAAACCCGTTCCAGCTGCACTGAAAGCATGAGCCAAAAGAAGGCTCCAGGAACGGATGTAACACCAACTGAAATGTATCAACAGGCTCATGAGGCACCGGAAGCACTCACTCCTTTATGCCAGGACATTTGGAAGGCACTTGACCAACTGTCGGGAAGAGATCTATAGTTTTACCTACTTCAAAGAAAGGTAACCCAAGGCAATGCTCAAATTACAGAAAAATATTAATATCACATGCAAGTAAAATTTCGCTGAAGATCATCCAACAGCAGTTGCAGCAGTATATCGACAGGGAGCTGCCAGAGGTTCAGGCTGGATTCAGAAGAGGATGTGAAACTAGGGGTGTCATTGCTGATGTCAGATGGACCTTGGCTCAAAGCTGAGATATACCTGAAAAAAAGTTTACTTGTGTTGTATTAACTATACCAAGGCAATCGACTGTGTGGATCATAACAAACTATGGAGAGCCTTGGGCAGAACAGGAATTGCACAACACTTCATGGTGCTCATTTGGAACCTGTACATGGAACCAGGAATACTGCATAGTTTAAGATCAGGAAAGGTGTGCATCAGCGTGGGATCCTCTCACCATATTGGTTCAATTTGTACGTTGGGTAAATAACCAGAAGCTGGATTTTATGAAGAGGAATGTGGCAGCAGGACAGGAGGAAGGTGCAGATGAACAACGGGGACGTGCAGGTGACACAGCCTTGCTTGCTGAAACAGGAGGACGTGAAGCCCTTGCTGCTGAAGACCAAGAAAAGCACCAGCCTTCAGTCTGGATTAAAGAAGTCTGGGCTCATGTAAGGAAGATCACTGTCCTCACAACTGGACAGGAAGTGACATCATGGCAAACAGATACAAGACTGAAGCTGTCAAGGATTTCCTCTTGCTTGGACCCACAATGTTCATGGAAACAGCAGTCAAGAGATCAAACAAAGTACTGCAATGGGTATATCTTTCAAATGTTGAAATGCAGGGAGGTTACTTTCAGGACTAAGGTGTGCCTGACCCAAGCCATGGTATTTCCAATTGTTATTTTCACAAATGAATGTGAAAGCTGAACAATGAATAAAGAAGACTGATGTTTTGAATTCCAGTGCTGGGGAAGAATATCGACAGGACCATGCCTGGCTAGAACCCACCCATCTGTCCTGGTCGCAGTAGGGTCAGACTGAGACGTCATCTTACATGCAGTGGACATGTTGTCAGGAGAGACCTGTACCTGGAGACGGGCATCAAGCTTGGCAAAAGAGAGGACGGGCTTGGATGAGATGGACGGACACAGTGGCGGCAACAGTGGGCTCAGGCATGGGAACGATGGTGAGGACGGTGCAGGGCCAGGCCGTGTTTTGTTCTGCTGTGCACAGGGTCGCTGTGGGTCAGGACCATCCTGACGGCACTGAACAACAAGACAACCACACAGTGGAGACTCTTCTTTCACTCAGCAGAATGCCTTTGGGATCCACCAAGTCATGTCTGCAGAATACACACATACACTTGTCCCCAAACGTTCATCACAGCCTTAGTCATCATGGCCAAACGAGAGAAACCACCCAATGTCCATCAAAGCATGCAAAGACAGACACACAAACAATCCAAACCCTCACTGCCATCACACCCAAGGCCTCAGATCCCCGTCTTCAGACATTTAATCCAAACCATCCAGTGGCGCTGACTCATAGCGACCCTATAGGACAGGGTAGAATTGCCCCTGTGAGTTTCCGAGACTCTAGGAGGTGTGGAATCCCCAAGCTCTGCCCGGTGTGCTTTGACTTGGCCGCTCCCCACGCCTTGACACTGATGGACACTCACAAACCCAAGCCTCCTAGAAACATGGCAAACTCCTCTACCAGTACCAAGTGTGCTTCCAGGAGAAAGTACACGGAAGCGCGCTCCTCTGACTGGCGCGGCTCTAAACCCAGGCACTGACGGGGCAGAAACGGCCTGCAAAGGGCCTTGTAACTCTTCCCAGGAGACGAAAACCTCATCTTTCTCCCACAGATCAGCTGGTGGTTTTGAACTGCTGACCTGGAGGACCAGAGCTCTCCCAAAGCATGAAAAAATAAACAAACTGCAGCATATAAGCAAAGGCATCTCATTCAGTGATAAGAGGGAAGGATGGTCAGGTGATAACTTAGATAACCCCTCCAAGCAGGACACCATGTCACAGCAGCCAGGCACAAAAGACCACACGCTGGGGGATTCCATTTATAGGGCATATGCAGCACACCCGAAACTACAGAGACAGAGAGCAGGTTGGAAGGTGACGGCTTCCGGAGGGTGGCGTGTCCTCCTGGGGCGATAAAGAGGTTGTGCGAGTCAAAGACGAGGGCTGCACAAAGTCCCCGTACACTACCTGCTAGAAAATTTTACACTTCAAAATGGTTACGTGCGTGTCGTGTATCTCACCTCTATTTGGAACATTGGCCATATTTATGTGGGTTTATTTCTGGACTCTTTTCTGTTCCTGCTACCAATACCACGCTGTCTTGATTATGACAGCACACAGTAACCCTTCCCGTCCCCTCACTAGATTTTATGTTGACGACCTGTTGAATGGTGAGGGCGGAGCGGGCCGGACAGTGTTTCATTATGGCGTGCCCAGGGCAGCTCTGGGTTGGAATCTACTCGCTGGCATCTAACAACATGTCGCAAGGGTAACCTTTTGGATGTTGCTGTTAGGTGCCTCTCAATTTAGTGCTCACTCTTAGCAAGCCTATCCCCACGCGACGACACACTGCCTGGTCCTGCACCACCTCCTGGACAAGCTGCCTCTTGTTCTGCTGACCCCCACTTTTCCGAGCACAGTCTTTTCCCAGGATCTGCTCTTTTCTGGTACCGTGTTTGAAGTACGTGCGGTTTTTGCCACCCTCACGTCTAGGGAACATTCTGGCTGCGTGTGGTCGAAGACAGATTTCTTTGTTCCTTTGGCACTCCCTGGCATTTTCACTATTTTCCGCGGCGCCATCACTCAAATGGATCATCTCTTCCGCGGCCCTCCTTACACCCTGTCCGACTTCCAGGGCCTGCGCGGCCACAGAGGACAACAGGCCGAGGGGCAAGGAGACACCTTTGCTCTTTAACACTTTAAAGCGCTTTTGCGCAGCACACTTGCCCAAAGCAGGGCTTCCTTTGATTTCCTGACTGCTGCTTCCGGGAGCGAGCGTTCACTGTCCCCGTCAGGAGGATGAAATCCTGGACGACGTCATCTCCTCTCTGCTGCTCGGGTGTTGTTCCTGGTCCCGCTGCGAGGACTCGGGTTTTCTGTCCACTGAGTTGCGGTCGTACTGGAGGCTGTGTCTAGGAGCTTCCCCAGCAAGTGCGCCAAGTCCTCCTGACTGTCAGCAAGCGAGGCTGCTGCCGAGCCAGGTCTCCCTCCAATCCCCATGCCACACCCTTCTTCATACAGGCCAGCCTGCCGGACTCTGCTCAGCCGGCGGAGTGAAGGCGAGGAA